TTTTCCTGCCTGCAGGGGCTGTCAGCTGCCGGCAGACAACAGACGAGTGAGGAAGTGTATATGATTGCTATGCAATTTTTGTAGTTGACAAAATGACAAAAAAAAATTGAACAATGCTACTGCTTTAAATGTTTGTGTCAAGGTTTATGATTCCCAAGTGGAAACGATCCTCAAGGTTCAGAAACCAAGCTATGGGCACCACATAGATAAAGAAGTGGAACAACCGCATCAAAAATGGCCACACATCAGTGGAGAGTGAAGCATGTTTTGGTAGGCTCCCAACATCCAGAAATGAGATAGTCATTGACCAAGTGAGGACCCTGCTGATGTAGGATCGTTGAATCACAATCCGAGAACTTGCAGACAAGACGAGGGACAGGGCCTTTTCTGTGGTGGCCCCTCAGCTATGGAACTCCCTCCTGAGTGATATTAGATCGGCTGCATCCCACTTGTCCTTCCGGAAACAAGTAAAATCCTGGCTATGGGACCAGGGTTTTGGAGAGTAGGCTGACTTGCTAACGTGCTGACCTATATAGACCTGATGGACTGCCCCTGGATAATGTTTAAATTGGTGACTGGTGACTGTTTGTTGTCTGTTTTTATACTGCTTTTATATCCTAATAGCTGTTTGTATATTCTTGTGATTTTTTTTTTGCTTTCAAAGATCTTTTGCCATATTAAGGCACCTTCTTGCTATCTTTTTTGAAGTGATCTTTAATCTGAAGTTGTTGGAACCAGATTATGTTAGGAAATTCCTTATTTAATTCTTCTTGCATTTTCATTTTAATTTCCCTTAGTTCTTTCTTCAGAATATCTTTATAGAAATATGTGTTTTCTGATGCTCTTTGGTGACTCCTCTGCAACCCCCTCGTCCCGACCCCCAGGTTGAGAAACGCTGTTCTATGAATCCTTGCAGCACTTGGCACAAATTCAACAAACAAAAGACAGGAGCATTATACTATTTTTAATTGTTTTATTTAAAAATAAATAAATTATTAGTATTATTATTTCTCTCTTATTACCATTACTATAATGTAAAAAGTTACCCTTTGAAGAGATTCAAAATCAACATTGTATGAGAGTTTTCCTACGGCAGATATTTACATCATCTAATTATTACACTTTCTGTCAATCCCTTAACAATTAAATATCATAAACCTACATGTAAACATAAAACATTTTTAAAATTCAGAATTTATAACTCAGCATCCAAATTGAGAGTGCTGAAGGCTCCACGTTAAATGCCATGCCTGGATTACCAGACTGAACAATCAGGACCAATTCAGAAATACATCTATACAATCTGCTATGTTGAATACAAGAAACCGACTTTTGAACTATTACCAGTAACTATAATTCCACTTCAGTTCATCTTATCATTTATAAATACACAATGTTCACATCTTTGTTCAATAAAAATCTAACAAATCTTAAAACTAAACTCTGTTATAAATCTTTAATGTAAGTAAAACTACCAGTAACTATAATTCCACTTCAGTTTATCTTATCATTTAGCCCTAGTGCTTTTGGCACAGGAAACAAAGTCTAAATACACAACGTTCAATAAAAATCTGATAAATCTTAAACCTAAACTCTGTTATAAATGTTTAATGTAAGTAAAACTGCTTAAATATGATACACAGATATACATAGATTACCACCAAAGGCATCCTAGTCAGATATGACACAGTCTCTTTGGGGTTTTTTTCTCTCCATCAGGTGACTTTTCATCAGTCTTCATGGTGAGCAAGACATTTTTCCTGCCCAATTCCAATAAAGCTGATCACACTCCAGTATACAAAGACAAAAAATAAATGTACAATAGAAAGACGGGGTAGATCAAGAGGGGCTTCTTCATTTTGAATTCTTCTCCAACTAATAAGGAAGCAGCACTGTCCGCAGCCCAAAAGACTCCCAAAAGTTTTGTTAGAGTAGAAACAACTTCAAATGATCCGACCACCAGAAACAAAGGTGCTATTACAATAAGAGGGAGTAAAAAATATCCAATCTCTCCAAGAACCTGACCGTAAGTGACCTCTCCTCCAAGAACTCTGGCCGGTAGGAAGATGGTCAAGGATCCAAATATCCAAATAGTTATAATCCACCTTGAAGTGTCCATATAACGAGATCATTGAGAAGAACAGGAGAACTGCTAGAGGAACCCAAAAGTCAGGATTACCTCTTACTACATGTCTATTAAATCCAAAAGAAGGCATAGGCATCAAGACACACCGAATTTTGTAGTATATGTCCTTCAGATCAGACACAGTCTCTTTGTTTTGTTTTGTTTTTCCATCAGGTGACTTTTCATCAGTCTTCTTGGTGAGCAAGACATTTTTTCCTGCCCGATTCCAATAAAGCTGATCACACTCCAGTATACAAGGACAAAAAAAATAAATGTACAATAGAAAGATGGGGTAGATCAAGAAGGGCTTCTTAGTTTTAAATTCTTCTCCAACTAATAAGGAAGCAGCACTGTCCGCAGCCCAAAAAACTCCCAAAAGTTTTGTTAGAGTAGAAACAACTTCAAAAGATCCGACCACCAGAAGCACAGGTGCTATTACAATAAGAGGGAGTAAAAAATATCCAATCACTCCAAGAACCCGACCGTAAGCAACCTTTCCTCCAAGAACGGTAGGAAGATGGTCAAGGATCCGAATATCCAAATAGTTATAATCCACCTTGAAGTGTCCATATAACGAGATCATTGAGAAGAACAGGACAACTGCTGGAGGACCCCAAAAGTCAGGATTATCTCTTACTAGTCTATTAAATCCAAAGGAAGGCATAAGCATCAAGACACATCGAATTTTGTAGTAGATGTCCTTCAGATCAATGTCTAACTCCTCCAAGAGAGGTTTACTATCTTCAGGGTCATCATTTTCTACTTCCAAAAGCCAGCCATATCCTCTCTGTCTCAGAATGTAGTTGCTGTAGATTGATTACCAAATTCACCACTTCCTCCTCCAAGATGGAGCTTCACATCTGGAGATGCTATTGAACCGCTCAGATCTGCTGTCCTTCCTTCTTTTTTCTCTCCTAGAAAGAAAACAAGACTCAAATCAGGTAATGCAAGCTTTTTTTCACAAGTTTTCAGCAGCATCTTTGAAGTTAAGCCTGTTGGGATAGAAACATTTACATGACTCTTGGGTAAGGAACGTAAGCATTATACTACTGTTTACATTTTTCAGTTTAAAAATAAAGAAACTATAGAAATCACTCACAATATAAAACAACTCTGTTGCTGTAACATTTCTGTATGGTATCAGCGCTGCAGCCAAGCCGGGAGGCAAGGAGTGAGGACCCCGTTCCAGAGGAGTCCAATGAGTCCTGGGTGGGGAGCGATGGACAGACGATGGAGCCAGCTGTCCCAGGGGTTCTTCATTCCAGATCTTCAATCAGGATATCTGTTGTTGGTCTAAGAGAAAGAAAAAGACATGTAAGAACATAAAACCCAAATAGTCCTCCAACTCAACAAAGGACCCAACCCCCAGCCAAACAGTTACTTCTCTCCCTGGGGCAGCGGGCTCCATGGTCCGTCCATGCTCCCGTCATCCGATAGATTGGTAATGGTGACCTGTGAAAGAAAGAGAAGATCAAAGTGATTATTCAGAGACTTTCTCTGAAAGCTTGCCCCCCCCCTCCCCTTGCCAGAAAGACAGTACTCCTGCCTCTCACTCCTTACCCAGGACTCAAAGGACTCCATGCGAAGGGGGTCCTCAGGCCTGTCATCCGGGCGTGGCTGCGGCGCCGATACCATACAGAAATGCTGTAAAGAAAAAAGAAGAGACATCATTAAAATCCCGATCCCCTCCTCTTCGCAGAAGTACAATCCTCCTGCCTTCCCCTCCTTACCCAAGTCTCCAAATCCAGATCCTCGGAGGAGGACTCCTCAATTTCTTCTGGGGGGCTAGAGAAGGAGGGAAAACAGCATAAAGTTAGCAACAGATCAAGGGTGCTCACTAAAACACCCGTGAAGTAAATTATAGCAAGCAGAAAGAAATAAGGAAGGGGGATACCTGATGGGATAAACCTTGATCGATGTCCTCCTCCTACAACACATAAACAGGTCTTCACAGACGTTCCTGATGCTCTGCAAAGGAGAGAGGAGGACAAGGTCAGAGGGAAGAGGACGGAGATGCTTTGGGAGAGCGGCTGTTTTAGGGCCATTGCTCTTCCCATAGCAGCTTCATTTTTTGTGATATACATGATATTTGAAACAATGTAGCTTATGAACAACACCAATAATAAAATAATAAAGCTTATTTATATCCTGCCAGGCACAAAATTACAACAAATCATATTTATTTATTTACTTCATATATATACCGCTTTTCTCAGCCCTTAGGCGACTCAAAGCCGTTAACAAAGCAGCAAGATTCAATGCAAAACATTACAAAACGAATATGGGACAGTTAAAAACAGTAGCATCACAGCAATTAAACATCAATCTAGCTATCATTAGCGTCTCATCAGTAAAAACCCTGGATGAGATACGTGGAACATGTTTCTGAGGGAGATGTGTTTCTAAGGGGAGGGGGCCTCTAAAGGACCAAAAAACCCAATTCAAGTTAAACCTTCAATAACTCGCCCCCTCCCTCTTTTTTATTATTTTGTTAATTATTTTCTCTCTTTCTTCCCTTCCCCCCTCCTGCCCCACCAGTGCCAAAGGGCCTAACACAGGGGTCCCCAAACTACGGCCCGCGGGCCGTATGCGGCCTGCCGTGGGCATTTCTCCGGCCCACCTGGCCTGGCCTGGCCACACCCACCCGGCGCCACTCTGAAAATTTGGGACACCCTCTGCTCCGGCCGCTCTCCCTGTGTGGAAGGGAGAAGCCTCCCAGCTGCAGAGGACCCAGCTGGGAGGCTTCTGCCTTCCACACAGGAGAGCAGCCGGAGCAGAGGGTGTCCCAAAGTGAAGGAGCACGCCAGCGTTCCCTGGCCACACCCACCCCGCGCCGCTCCGTCAGTTGCGGATGCCCTCTGCTCCGGCTGCTCTACTCTCCGCGGCCACGAGGCCAAGTTTGCAGGTGAACTATAAATCCCAGCAAATACAACCCCCAAACGCCACCAGTGTTCACATTTGGACATATTGAGTATCAGTGCCAAGTTTGGTCCAGATCTATCATTGAGTCCACAGTGATTTATGGAGGCAGGTGAACTACAACTCCAAAACCAAAGGACACTGCCCACCAAACCCTTCCAGTATTTTCTGTTGGTCATGGGGAACTGTGTGCCAAGTTTGGTTCAATTCCAGTTCGTGGGGTTTGATTGTAGGTGAACTATAAATCCCAGCAACTACAACTCCCAAATGTCAAGTTCTATTTTCCCCAAACTCCACCAGTGTTCACATTTGGGCATATTGAGTATTTGTGTAAAGTTTGGTCCAGATCCATCCATTGTTTGAGTCCACAGTGCTCTCTGGATGTAGGTGAACTACAACTCCAAAACCAAAGGACACTGCCCACCAAACCCTTCCAGTATTTTCAGTTGGTCATGGGAGAAATGTGTCCCAAGTTTGGTTCAATTCCATCGTTGGTGGGGTTCAAAATACTCTGTATTGTAGTTGAACTATAAATCCCAGCAACTACAACTCCCAAATGACAAAATCAATGTTTTGTGTGAAGGACATACATTGGGTTGTTAGGTGTCTTGTATCCAAAATTGATGGCAATTCCCCCAGTGGTTTTTGAGTTCTGTCAATCCCACAAATGAACATTACCTTTTATTTATATAGATATTACATGTAATATAAAATATATAATTATAATATTGTATTATTATTAGTTTCATATTGCATTACATTATAATATTATAAATATATGTAGATACAATATATTATATTATATTATATTATATTATATTATATTATATTATAACAATTATATATACAGTACAGATGCTTGGTGGTTACAATGATGGTTATTGATTAATCTCTTATAATGATGTTACTTTAAAAATAGTTTCTGTGTGACTTTCGTTTATGTATTTCCTCAGCCTTTCCTTCACAAAAGGCTTTTATAATATTATTCTTACAAACTGATTTAACTACACTCCTTAACTGGACGTTGAAATCCTGACTACTCTGCACTTCAAAACCTCTCTATGACTAACACCAGCTAAGTGAGAAAGAATGTTAAGTTGGCCTCTTCTAATTGCCATTCTTGACTCCGCCCATCTCTCGTACCTCAGCACCTGCTCATTTGCATCTGGCCAATCAGGCCTCTCCTATGCAAATAGCTCCTCCCCTGGTTCTGCTGCACGATGAGAGCCACAAAAGGTCTGCCTAACTTTCTGGTTTTACAAAATGGCAGCTTACACACTAATAATAATAATAATAATAATAATAATAATAATAATAACAACACCCCGCTACCATCTCCCCAAGGGACTCGATGTGGCTTACATGAGGCCGAGCCCGAACACAACAATACAAGCAAAAATCACAACAATACAAGCAATTAAAATAAAAACATAAACAATAAACATAACATTATCAATAAAACATACAATTAAAAACTGTGGGAAGGCCAAATGTAAAATTAAAATCGGAAAGAGTGCTGAAACATGGACGAAAAGGTGATAGTGGCATTTGTGGAAAGACATACGAGCAGACCTAAAAATGTAAAGTGCTTTAGAGGGACAAAGTGCTTGTTGTTGTTCATTCGTTCAGTCGTCTCCGACTCTTCGTGACCTCATGGACCAGCCCACGCCAGAGCTCCCTGTCGGCCGTCACCACCCCCAGCTCCTTCAAGGTCAGTCCAGTCACTTCAAGGATGCCATCCATCCATCTTGCCCTTGGTCGGCCCCTCTTCCTTTTGCCTTCCACTTTCCCCAGCATAATTGTCTTCTCTAGGCTTTGCTGTCTCCTCATGATGTGGCCAAAGTACTTCAGCTTTGTCTCTAGTATCCTTCCTTCCAGTGAGCAGTCGGGCTTTATTTCCTGGAGGATGGACTGGTTGGATCTTCTCGCAGTCCAAGGCACTCTCAGAACTTTCCTCCAACACCACAGCTCAAAAGCATCTATCTTCCTTCGCTCAGCCTTCCCTAAGGTCCAGCTCTCACATCCGTAGGTGACTACAGGGTATACCATGGCTTTGACTAGGCGGATCTTTGTTGTCAGTCTGATGTCTCTACTCTTTACTATTTTATCGAAATTGGACATTGCTCTCCTCCCAAGAAGTAAGCGTCTTCTGATTTCCTGGCCACAGTCTGCATCTGCAGTAATCTTTGCACCTAGAAATACAAAGTCTGTCACGGCCTCCACATTTTCTCCCTCTATTTTCCAGTTGTCAATCATTCTTGTTGCCATAATCTTGGTTTTTTTATGTTTAGCTGCAACCCAGCTTTTGAGCTTTCTTCTTTCACCTTGATTAGAAGGCTCCTCAGCTCCTCCTCGCTTTCGGCCATCAGAGTGGTGTCATCTGCATATCTGAGGTTGTTAATGTTTCTTCCAGCAATTTTCACCCCAGCTTTGCATTCATCAAGCCCCGCACATCGTGATGTGTTCTGCATACAAGTTAAAAAGGTTGGGTGAGAGTATGCAGCCTTGCCATACGCCTTTCCCAATCTTGCACTAGTCTGTTGTTCCGTGGTCAGTTCTAACTGTTGCTACTTGGTCCTTGTACAGATTCCTCAGGAGAGAGACAAGGTGGCTTGGTATGCCCACCACCAAGAACTTGCCACAATTTATTATGATCCACACAGTCAAAGGCTTTAGAATAGTCAATGAGCAGAAATAGATGTTTTTCTGAAACTCCCTGCCTTTCTCCATTATCCAGCGGATATTGGCAATCTGGTCTCTCGTTCCTCTGCCTTTTCTAAACCCAGCTTGAACATCTGGCAACTCTCGCTCCATGTATTGCTGGAGTCTTCCTTGCAGGATCTTGAGCATTACCTTACTGGAATGAGAAATAAGGGCCACTGTACGGAAGTTGGAGCAGTCTTTCGCATTTCCCTTTTTTGTATGGGGATGTAAGTTGATTTTTTCCAGTCTGATGGCCATTCTTGTGTTTTCCATATTTGCTGGCATATGGCATGCATCACCTTGACAGCATCATCTTTCAAGATTTTAAACAGTTCAGCTGGGATCCTGTCATCTCCTGCTGCCTTGTTGTTAGCAATGCTTCTTAAGGCCCATTCAACCTCACTCCTCAGGATGTCTGGTTCTAATTCATTCACCACACCGTCAAAACTATCCTCGATATTGTTATCCTTCCTCTACAGATCTTCTGTATAGTCTCGCCACCTTCTCTTGATCTCTTCAGCTTCTGTTAGGTCCCTGCCATCTTTGTTTCTTATCATACCAATTTTTGCCTGAAATTTACCTCCAATGTTTCTAATTTTCTGGAAGAGGTCTCTTGTCCTTCCTATTCTGTTGTCTTCTTCCACTTCCATGCATTGCTTGTTTAAAAATAGTTCCTTATCTCTTCTGGCTAACCTCTGGAATTGCGCATTTAACTGGGCATATCTCCCCTTATCACTGTTTCCTTTTGCTTTCCTCCTTTCTTGGGCTACTTCCAGTGTCTCAGCAGACAACCATTTTGCCTTCTTGGTTTTCTTTTTCTTTGGGACGTACTTTGTTGCCGCCTCCTGAACAATGTCGCGGACTTCTGTCCATAGTTCTTCTGGGACTCTGTTTACTAAATCCAGTCCTTCAAATCTGTTCTTCACTTCCACTGTATATTCGCTAGGAATGTTAGTGAGATCATATCTAACTGGTCTGTGTATTTTCCCTGATCTCTTTAGTTTTATTCTAAATTGGGCAATAAGAAGTTCGTGATCTGAGCTACAGTCAGCCCCAGGTCTTGTTTTCACCGACTGGATGGATGTCCGCCACCTTTGGCTGCAAAGGATGTAGTCAATCTGATTTCGGTGTTGACCATCTGGTGAGGTCCATGTATAAAGCCGTC